GCTGGGGCCACGAAGGTACTGAGGACACGAGCGACTGGGGGCCACGAAGGGCAAATATATGGGCCACAAAGGGCAGCGAGGAGGCCACATTGGGCAGCGGGGGGGGAGGCACACGGGGCTACACTGGGGCCACTGAGGGCACGAGCGACTGGGGGCCACGAAGAGCGTATACATGGGCCACCAAGGGCAGCGAGGGGGCCACTGAGGGCAGCAGCGGGGCCACAATGGGCAGCAATGGGGCCACTGAGGGCACGAGCGACTGGGGGCCACGAAGGGCGTATATATGTGTGTGTATAGATCTCTATATATATATATATATAGATGGGCCACAAAGGGCAGCGATGGGGGCCACTGCGGGCAGCAGCGGGGCCATGATTGGCAGCGATGGGGCCACTGAGGGCACGAGCGACTGGGGGCCACGTTGGGCGTATATCTATATATATATACATATGGGCCACTGAGGGCAGCATCGGGGCCACAGAGGGCAGCATCGGGGCCACGAAGGGCAACGACTGGGCCAGAAGGGGTGGGGCCACGAAGGGCAGCAATGAGGCACAAACTGCGCGAGCGAGCGTAGGGCACGAAGGGCATGGCCCTGACGGGCGGGCCGAGCGGGCGGATCGATCGTCAGTTCTGCGTGATTCGCCAGGATGTTTCCAGCGAGAGAGCGATTCCTAAGTAAATTTGGAGAAGTCCCCAGCGAACGCGCGATTCCTGAATGGCAAGAGCGCGGCGCCTGAGTAAATTAAGAGGAAATCTCAAGCGGGAGCGCGATTCTTGAGTGAATTGCGAGGAAGTCTCAAGCGGGAGCGGTGGACCGCAGTACATTTCAAGGACATTTCTAGCGGGAGTCACTGTTGTTGTAAACCGGGAGGCAGGGGCACAATTTTAAGAGGTAGACTTTCCCTAGCAAAAAAACAAGGTGCGAGCGCCGGGAGGGGCATTTCAATTGAAAAAAAAAATGTGCACCGGAGGGGGGGATCAACAAATATTATTCTTCAGTAGCCAGAGCTCAACAACAGCAACAGCAACAGCAACAGCAACAACAACAACAATAACTATCATGTTCAGATTGTGCGCTTTTATTGGCACGCGTGTCTAGCATTCTGTATACCCCAACCCTTGATACCCGCCCACTTCGTCTCCGATCGCACCTCCTTTTCGGGGCGGATATCTTCCTCGTCGGCCACTGACTGACATGCGAGGAACTCTCGAGCGGGAGCGCCGTTCCTGAGTTCGGGGACCTCTCTGGCCAGGGGCTCTCGGAATACATATTCAAACATATCGAACGGGAACCATTGTCGCCGTGACTGGGCCTCACCAATTTGCCAGAAGTGCGAAAAAGTTTCGAGCGGGAGCGCCACTCTTAAATTCGGGGGCCTCTCTGGCAAGGGCCTCTGCGAATACATCCTGAGGGAATATCGAACGAGAGCCCTTGTCGTCGTAGTTGGGCCTCCACCAATTTGACCGAACCACGAAAAAGTCTCGAGCGAGAGCGCCGCTCATGAGTTCAGGGGACTTTCTGGTCAGGGGCTCTCGGAGTACATCGTGAGGAAGTATCGAGCAGGAGCCCTTGTCATCGTGGCTGGGCCTCCGCCAACTTGATCGAATTGCGAGGACGTCTCGAGCGACACGGCAGGTCTTGAGTTCGGAGGCCTCTCTGGCCAGGGTGTCTCGGGGCACATTGTGAGGAAGTATCGAGCGGGAGCCGTTGTCGTTGTAGCTGGGCCTCCAGTGGCACACATTTACACTCAAGCCAACGCTTGCGCGGGAGCCTCGTTTACCTAGCAAATGTAGCTGGCGTCGAGGCGAGAGCGCGCAGAACCGCTTCCGGAGATCACCAATCATCATTCTCCAGAAATGATTATTCAACTCTAGCAATCGTTCTAAGACTGCTCGCTCTTATCTGCCCGCGTGCCACGCAACACGTCTATCCCAAACCCTCGATACCCGCCCTTTTCGTCTTCGATCGTACCCCCTTAGGGGGCATATCTCTCTTACCTGCAACGTGTATTTCATGCAGCCCCTACGGCAGAGAAAGAGAGGACGGATGGAAGAAAGGGACAACGGGGAGGGAGGAGAATGGAGCACGAGAGAGAGAGAGAGTAGCAGGAAAGAAGCGAGGATCAGAAAACACGTGGCAGAACCAGACGGGCAGATCGGGCGGGTATGCCCTAACAGGCGGGTCGGGAAGGCGGGCCCAGGCGGCCAGGTCGAGCAGGCGGGTTCCTGAAGCGTGCGTCCTGCATGAATCGCGAGGAAGTCTCGAGCGATAGCGCGACTCTCAATCGTGAGATTCCTGAGTGTCGAGGGCGCGGTGTCTGAATAAATTGCGGGGAAGTCCCACGCGAGAGCGCGATTTCTGCATAAGTTGCAAGGAAGTCCCGCGAGAGAGCGCGATTCTGGAGCCCGTGTTGTTATAACTCGGGGGCCAGGGGCGCAGTTTGAGCAGGAAGACTTTCCCTGATCAAAAACAGGATGCGAGCCCCAGGAAGGGGCACCTCAATTGAAAAACAAACATGCTACTGGAGGGGGGATCAACAGTAATAGTTCTCCAGAAATGAGAATTCAACAACAACAACAACAACAACAACAACAACAACAACAACAACAACATCAACAACAACAACAGCAGCGGCAATAACAACAACGACAACAACAGCAGCAGCAACAGCACTAACAGTACCAACAACCACAAAAATCATCTTAAGGCTGGTCGCTCTTTCTACTCGCGTGTCATGCAACACGTAGATTCCAAACCCTCGATTCCAATATAGAATGACTGGGGAAAAAGAGCATGTATCTAAACAGGCGCGTGTTGAAGAAAAAAGGGCGGGCCTTCGCTTCGGGGGTGGAGTGTGTTTGTTTTTCTCGGTAGCTTTAATAAACGCTGAGGTCACAAGAACGCACCACACCCTGTTACGACACATGTTCTAAACTACTTCTGTCTTGGACGACCTCCTTCTCTGAACACAGAATCTGAAATCGAACACAAAACAACGAATTTCAGAAACGGCAGAATGTCAATCAAAATATATTCACGTCCAATCAATTCTTAACATGAACCGCTTTTGACACATATTCGGCCTCCTGGATACACTCGAAGGAGAAGAAGTCGATATCTTCCGGAACATTGAAATAAACAAGTGTGCAACAACAAAGCCTGATTGAGAAAGATCCAAATTCCTCCCTCCACCCCCAGGCCTGCACATTGGCAAGTATTGCGTTCGAGATGTTGGGTTCAAGATGTGGTCGGCCCCGCTTCTCTGGGGACGGTTGCTCAATAGTAGGCCAGGGGACGGGGGAAGGTCATTCCAAGCGGTTCCTCAACGGTTGTTGTACATTTTCTTCCTTCAACAACAGTTCTGACCCGCAGAAGAAGGCACTCCGCTAGACCCCCCAAGAGCGCAGTAACGTGCCGACAGTTGCGCCAATAAGGCGACGTGGCGACAGGTAGAAGATAGAAGAAAGGACGATGAAGGCTGGAGGAGGAAGGAGGCAGGAGGGGAGAGGACGGGATGAGGCGGAAAGAGAAGAGGAGAGAAGGCTCAGGTAGGCGCTGGTGGGCCAATGCATGGACAACATATTCGAACCGTCACACACTTGAGGTGGATGTTCATCACACCCCCGCCGCCGAAATCAATTTTGGGGTTCGAAGTCCGAATCTGTATGTCCACCCAAGCCCCCTCAATTGCCGCACCATCAATATCATTTCGGGGGGTCCTGGGGGGCATCTTGCGCCGCGGGGTTCGAACTTCTTGTCCATGTACGGGCATGGCCTTTTCGCTGGCGGCGGCCCATCTGCACTATCATGCTCTCAATCGGATCCCCTGTGAGCAATCCCAGGGGTGCCCGCAAACTGCTGCCGTGTTCCCGCCATGACTGTAAAAAAACGTTGGCAACAATTTGGGCGCCGGAAAGCTCGGTGTACTAAACAACGCAAGTTCCATCCAGCTGGACGCCATACTTTCCGATGGGTGGCATTGAGCGTCCGTGATCATTTCCACAGCATCTGCCGCCCGCTCACGCCCAGCCGCAGAATTTCGATGATCTGCACAATGAAATGCTAGCCAGTGAAGTCCAGATAATGATTATCCCGCAAAGCTTGCATCAATGCTGCGCGGAGGACCCAATAATGCAATACTTGCGCACTGCGCTGTTTGCTCATGTGCAGACAAACAAGCCGAACACTGTTCAGATTGTACTCTATATGTTTTCGTCGAGTCGACAACGTCATCCAACCAAATTCTGTGACCAGTGATGTTCTACATATTGCTATATATCACGTTATCATTGCGAGAATATTGCGGACTTACGGCAAACGTGGCTAAACATTTCGTCGCGAGCGCAACCTAGACAGACGTATCCTCATTCTCTCCTTCCTCATCTGTTTCCTTGTCCGATATCCTTCCTCGAGGACTACAGAATACGGACGCACGATAAGGATGCAAGGGCCCTGGAAGGCCACTTCGAAGCTTTTCGAGAGGGGCTCGGCCAGCGAAAGTGGCCAAGGATGGGCCGAAGGGGCAATGATGCAAGGGGTACCCTGGGGAAGGTTGCCCGTCCTTACCGTGCGGGTTGACTGTACTGGGCGGACCGCCAGCAGCGTCACTCTAGGAGGAGCTAGGGCTCCCAACTTCGCGCTTCGCGCTGCGCGAAGCGCGAATAACTTCGCGCTCTCGCGCCGCCCTCCCAAAGGGAGAATAGGAGGACGAGGAGGAGGGGGAGAAGGAACGAGGACCGCGAAGCGCGAAGCGCGAATAACTTCGCGCCCTCGAGGGAGCCCTTGGAGGAGCAAGTGCAACATCACTGGCACGCCGTCGTGGGAACCAGCATCAGCGCGTTTTGCGGTTGAAGCGACACCACGCGTCCGCACAAGAACAAAGGGTATAACACGCTCACGGGCTCCCGACGGCGAGGTGCCATTGATACTCTGTCGCCCTCCCGAGGTCTTCCTCCTCCTCCTCCTCCTTGTCCAGCGAGGTGCGGGGGGAGATCGCCGGAGGCAACCCCGGTGTACCGCGTCTCGCCGCTCGGCGGCTTGAACCCGTCGAGCGACCTCCCCTGCACCAGAGGCGGAGAAACAAAGAAGGAGGAGAGGAGGAGGAACAATCTCAAGTCGCAGCGATGGCAACTGCGCACCGCGCCCGTAGCCTGAGCGGGGGCGCTGCTGGGAATCGCGCCCGAACCAGCCGGGGACAGAAGAAGGGGGCGGCCGCGGAGGAGGAGGAGGAGGAGAAAGAGGCAGCGCACTGAGAGCATGAAGGATGAGAGATGACAGGGAGCCCACAGAGGACGATGCGCTCGGCCACGTAATTGCGCGAACACAGCCCCCTCAGTCTACGAGGCCAGCCTCGCGACACGAGCGTTCGCGCAGCGCGCACCGTCGAAACCAGCGCGGACTCATGCACACGTGCGTCCTTCCTTTGGGGAAATCAAAAGGTCTGGAGGCCTGGACATGGGCATCGAAACCAACACACAGGGGGCGTGCCTCCACAGGCGGAAGATGATTCTAGATCTCGGTGCTGGTGGTGATATGTCGGCCACCTTGGCAACAATAATATTACCACCATCACCGAGATCGGGATCTTCTTCTCTCGGTGGAGGCACACCGCCGATACTGGTGTTGGTATCAACCTCTAGGCCTTCGAGAGGTACCGATACCGCTACCCCCCGGACCAACTGCCCCGATACGCAATACGCAACGCGTATCGTACCGATACGGGGCCCAACGCGTGGGCTGGAGACGCAGGTCCGACGCGACACACTCGCCAAAGCGGGGTCCAATACGTGGAGCCAACACGCAACGTATCAACACAAGCGTATTCCAAATCCCTTATTAATCGTCCCCCGGGTCCGGTTTTTGAAGGCGCCTTTTTGGTCATTAAGGGGGTCCGGTTTATCAGGTCGCTCTCTTTGGATTGGCGCCGAGGGGGTCTGGTTTATCAAGGCGCCCCATCGAAGAAGGGGGTCCGGAACATCAGGTCGCATTTGGAGGGGGGTCCTGGTTTTTCAGGGGGGGGTCGATGAAGAAGGGATTTGGGGTACCGAGGCAAAAAGGGGGGGGGGGTGCGCTCTGACCAGCGGCTCCGCCCGAGAAGCCGGCGGCGGCGACGGAGGGCCTCCCGGGAGGGGCCGAAGGAGGAGGGAAGGGAACGGGCGAGGGGCAGCGGCATGACAGTCGGCCCGGATCAGTACACCCTGCGAAATGCTTAAGAAATCATGGGTTAAGAAATTCATAATCTCAGAAATTGACTAAAACCCAGAACTTCTATCAAAATCTTGGGATTTACATTCAAAAGTTAAGAATAATCGAGACTCTGGCCGAAACTTTAGGTTTTCTTAAGCATCGCCTAAGGTGTAGGTCGACCCTGCCAAGTCCAGGGTGCCCCAGATTTCGTGATAAAAGGGAGGGGGTCTGGACCCTCCAAGGCAAGCCATTTCAGGCCTCCCCCCCGTGGGAGAACCCTCCAAAACATCGTCCCCAGACCCCCCCAGGCCCTCCAAGATAGCCTGGAAGAGACCCCCCCCCCCCCGAAATGAGACCCCCCTCCCTAGATTACGAAATCTGGAGTACCCTTGTGTCCTGCATCTCGTCGCTTTCTCTGCACCACCTGATCCCGGGGCTTTGCCCTCTCCCGGCCTCTTGACGTAAGGCCCTGCCTTCTTTTTCCCTTCCTCTGCAATTGAAGCTGTGCGCGGCCCGCTAAGCTTCGACCGGAAGAGGCTCGCTCTCGACCCGCGGATCAAAACAATTGTGTCCTGTATCTCGCGACCCGCGCCTCTGACATTCCTGTGGCACTGTGGCCCTCGGAAAGGTCTCGTGCCCTGTCCAACCAAGCGCGACTGTATTGGGTGCGTCTTTTCCTCCTCCGACGTCTCTCGCTCCCGAGACCAGGGCTGAACCTAAACGGTGTTTTCCGTTCTCGTCTTGTTTTCGTTCTCCCTCGTTGTGTCTTCAATCCGCCCTTGCCGCAAAGCGAAATCGGAACGAAAACGGCCCACGAAATCGCCAAAACTCCGTTTAGGTCCAGCCCTGCCCGAGACAAAGGAGCAGCAGGAGGAAGAGGCAGAGAAGGAGAAGGGGACTCGCCTCAGGTCGGGCGTGTCCCCCTGCGTGCAGATTTTGGACGAACCATAAAAAATAGTCAAAAAGTAATCAAACAGTGCTTCAAACATACTCCAAAATACTAAAACAATGCTTCTGTCCGAGACAGAGGAAGGAGCAGCAGGAGGAAGAGGCTTGTGTTGCTCCCATCGTACTGAAGGCCCACATCCCAGAAACAATCTCGAGCACCCGGAGAAGTGTCGAAAGAGTGCCGAGAAAGTGTCGGACGAGTGCCCCCCAGGGCCCGACACGTGGAAAAACCTTCGAGCGTCAGGGCTTTTTCGGTGCTCGAGATTCTGCCTGGTGGCCAAGGCGAAAGAAGGAAAGACCATGAGAAGAGGCAGAGAAGGAGAATGGGCACTCGCCCAGGCCTGCAGGGGCGCAGCGGGGAGGCGGGAGCCCCCCGCGAATGCCGCGGCAGCGCGGAGCCCCTCCGGGAGGGCCGGGCCGCGCGCGGCGGGGGAGCGCAGAGGAGATCACCCGGGCGAGAGATCCGCCAGTCCGTCGGAGGCCCTCTTCGGGGGGGGGGGGCTAGCAACTGCGATCGGGAGCGGCCAAGAGGGGGGTGTCCAAGAGGGGGGGGTGCAAATCATGACCGGCGGCATGTGCGCGGCCCAGCGGGGGGGCCAGGGACGTAATGAAATAAGAAGAGGCGCCATGAGATCTGGGGAAATATCATGGCCCACGCCATGATATCCACCCCCTCCTAGTCATCACCCCCCTCTTTTCCGCCCCCGATGCGAGGCAGGGCTTTACCCGTAAACACCGCCCGGGGATCAGTCCTCGGGGACCTCGACAGGCGGCGCATGCGCATCCCTTCGGCCGCCCCGCGGCCCGAACGTCTACGACGAAGCCAGGGCGAGGAGGACATCGGCTGAAGATAAGTCTGACTACCTACCAGACCACCCCAACCCAACCCGAAGACCCGAATTTCGGGTTGGGGGGGGTAAGGGTTCCACATGTGTTTTTTCGACGTTTCCCGACCCCCCCCCCACTGGAAATGGAGGGCAAATTGAGGTCTTCGGGTTGGGTTGGGGTGGTTTGGTGGGTGGTGAAAGTCGCTGAGGCCCAGCGGCCCTGGAGGATGCATCGAGCGCCGCGGCCTTCTCAGAGAGCGTTCCGGAACTCTCCGAGACCGTTCCGGACTGCTCTGGAGCGACGCCGGCGAGGCCCATGGCAGCGTCGGCGCGGAGAAAAGCGGGCTCCGCATCGAGCCGCACCGCCGATGCGTCGGAGATGCGCCGGCGGCGCGCCGAGATGCCTCGACCCCAGCTACTCCGACCCCATCTGGGAGGCATCGAGCTCATGCCTAGTCGACCCCCCCCCCCCTCGGGAGGACGCGGGGTACATGATGCCCAGGAAGGCGTCCAGGATCTCCCGGGCCTGCCCTCCCTCCCTCTCGCGGCGGCCTGCCACCCCTCCGAGGCGCTCTCTTTCAGCGAGGTGCCGCCCTTCTCTCTCCCCCCCCCGACGCGCCTCTGCGAGTGCTGGGGCCTCCTTGGGCCTTTCCAGCCGCATCCTTCTCTCCTCGTGCTTCTACTCCTGGCCCTCCTCCTCCTCCTCCCTTTCCTCCTCCTCCTCCTGGTCCTCTTCCTGGTCCTCCTCCTCCTCCTCCTCCTCCTCCTCCTCCTCCTTCTCCTCCTCCTCCTCCTCCTCCTCCTCCCCCTCCTCCTGCTCCTCCTCCCCCTCCTCCTCCTCCTCCTCCTCTTCGTCCTCTGCACGGGTCCGTGGGCCTGGCCCGCCGTTGAAATCAGCGGAGGAAGGAGAGATGGGCTTCGGTATGCGGCGTGCGGCTAGCGGGAGAAAGCGAGAGCCTGGGAGAAGCGGAGGCTGATAGATACTGAGAGAGAGAGAGAGAGAGAAAGAGAGAGAGAGAGAGAGACAGACAGGCAGACAGGGAGATAGGCAGAGCTACAGAGAGAGAGAGAGAAAGGAATAAAGAAACAAAACAAAACAAAACAGGCGAAGGACCCAAACATATGTAGTTGTGAATACCGCATTTATTGGTATCGTATTCGGTGGAGCTCCCTATGGGGCCACGAAGCGCTGCATTGGGTGGGGGAGACGCATGCGAAGTTTGCCACTGGGGCCTTCGGTGGAGCTCCCTATGGACCACGAGACGCTGCGCTGGGTGGGGGAGAGACATGCGGACTTTGCCACTGGGGCCTTCGGTGGAGCTATCCAGCTGCCTGTCTTTCCTCTCTCTCTCTCTCTCTCGCTCTTTCCGCCGCTTCCCCCTTCTCGGCAGGATGACACCCAGGGAGGCGGGGACCTGCACCGCGGCCCCCATGGGGCCCCCGCAGGGACTTGTGATGCCGGGGGGTGCGTGGCCTCTGCCCGATCGGAAGGAATGGAAAATTGAGGGATGAAAAACGACCCTACCCTGGGTTACAAGAGCGTGGTCTGTAAACCTCCTGGGAACCCCCAAAGCCTAGAGCCGCCAGGACGCGGCACATCACGCAGGGTTTACCCTGTCAGCCCACAGGAGTTTCAGCGCACAGCGCCTCGTAAACCAGGGTAGGGTTTTTTTATGCCCTTGAGGAAAGGAGATGAGACGAGGTCGATGACGAAAGCAACAACGACGACGAGGAGGACGACCACGACGAAGGCGAGCAGGATGAGGTCGGAACGTCTGGGGACGAGAGGGGCAAGGAGGGGGCCGACGACGTCGCGAGGCAACGCCCGAACTCACACCCAAGGGTCGTTACGGGCTTGACGACTTCTGACGTCCCTCGACTCGCGCTGGAGTGGTCGCGATTTGCTCTCCCTTGATATCTCTGGATTCACCTGGAGTTGCCCAGATCCACCCGGATCTACCTCGATGTATCTGCATGTGCCTGGGACTTGTCTGGACCGATCCCCCACGGGTCGATTGGATGGGCGACAGGTCGTCGAGCACTCGGGGAAAGGGCCTCCGACAGCTTGCCGCGCTTGACGTAGTACAGGGCGGCCAGGGCACTGTCGTACGTGTCGTGGCGGCACTTCGCCGGGCCCTCCGGGCAGGGGCCCGGCAGGTCCTGCCGCGGAGCCGCGCCGCGGGGGAGGCGGCGGAGCGGAGCGCGGAGCCCTCGGCCAGGGGGGCGCTTTCTGGAGAGCCGCTTCCTCGCTGCGGGCCGAAGGGCGAGCGGGCGCCGCCGTTCGATGAGGAGGGGGTCGTCCACCCTGCGCCGCCCCTGTCGCCCCCGGTCGTGCTGCTGCTCCTTCTCCTCATCCTCCTTCTGCGATTCCTGTTCCTCTCTCGTTTCGTTGATGTTTGTTTTGTTCTCTCTCTGTCTCTCTCTCTCTCTCTCTCTTTCTCGCTCACGCCTTCTCTCTGTAGGTCTACCCATACATAAGAACTACAGTACTGCATATATCATGTACAGATGTTTACACGATATACATACATGCATATGTTGATCTCCTACCTGCCTCCTCGTCCCCTCTCTTTTCAAGTCTCATCCCTTACCAGAGTCTTGCGTGCAATGGGGGGGCTGCCAGCGCGAGACCCCCCGACCCCGAGGGACCCCGCGCCCTGAAGGGGCGGCAGCGCGAACGCGAGTCCGAACCCCCGGAGTGGACCCCAGGAGCGGCAGCGCGAACACGAGACCGAACCCTGGAGGAGAGGGCGGCAGCGTGAACGCGAGTCCGAACCCATAGGAGGGAGCGGCAGCGCGACTACGAGTCCGAACCCTCCCCAAGAGAGCCCCCCCATCCCCCTCCCGAGTTTGGCAGGGAAGGGATGGGAGGGGCCAAGGCGGCTGCGGGGGAGGCGGCAACGGGATGGACGCGTCAAGGGGGCACGCCAGGGGAGATCAATCGCATGAGAAACTCGATTATATTTGATTCCTACCTGCCTCCTCGTCCCCTCTCTTTTCAAGTCTCATCCCTTACCAGAGTCTTGCGTGCAATGGGGGGGCTGCCAGCGCGAGACACCCCGCGCCCTGAAGGGGCGGCAGCGCGAACGCGAGTCCGAACCCCCGGAGTGGACCCCAGGAGCGGCCGCGCGAACACGAGGCCGACCCCCTGAGGAGAGGGCGGCAGCGCGAACGCGAGTCCGACCCTTTAGGAGGGGGCGGCAACGCGACCACGAGTCCGACCCCCCCCCCCCAAAGGGAGCCTCCCCCTTTGCACCCCAATCTGGCTTACCGTCTTTAACCCTGGGGCGGGAGGGTCGGGAAAATGCTGACAGCGAAGCTGTGAATCACGGCGGTGTAACCTTCTGTGTTTTTGTTTGTTCTCTCTCTCTCTCTCTCTCTTGCTTTCGCACATCACGATCACGGGCCGCCGCCAGGCGGCGGAGTCGGTCCAGCTCCAGCGGGCCGAACGTGTTCTGCAGCAAACTCTGCGGCCCGTCCGAAATATAGAGCCGCGCCACGGCGGTATCCTGCCACCTGCCCATGCTGAGCGCGCGGCCCACGTTGTTGCAGCGACGGCAGTGCATCGTCGCGCCGCCGCGGCGCAGGGAGCGCGGCACGTACTGGTGGCGCTCGAGCCCCAGGCTGGCGATGAGCTCCCTGAAGACCCGCCTGAAGTCCTCCACGGAGGACCTGAGGATGAGCTCGTCGGGCGGCAACCTGTCGAGGAAATGCCGCACGAACCTCGCCAGTCGCGGGTCGCGAAGCGCCACCGACTCCTCACAGCGACGCCGAACTCCTGACTTTGCGACGATGATCATACTGAGCCCATCGCTCGTGAACTGTAACTGCCACCGGCGCAGGCTCAGCAACTCCATCGTGCGCAGGGGCGCCGCGTAGCCCACAACCAGCAGCCGTGCCGCGTCGCTGCGAGACCGCGAGCGCGCCACGCTCGCCAACGCCATCAGCACGTACTCTGGCATCGGCGCGGCCCGCTGAGGCGTTGCCGTCCTCTGCCAAGCTTTGAGCAAATTCCAAGAACTATGTAGAATACGTTTGCGTCGCAAGAAGAACTGCGCGCCTGAGATGGTCGAGCCCGCATCTCCAGCTGGCCGACCAGCGGCCCACAGCGCCTCAATCCATTCGCAAAGTTGACAGTCAAGCTGCTCCACATCAGACTCCACTGCTACACCGTGGGCTGTCACCCACGAAGTGACAGCCAACACCATCCTGTAATGTCGTCGCAAGGTACGAGACTGAACTAAAGTGTGCGATAACTTCCCATATTGCTCTGCGCGCGCCAACACAGGCCACCAGATCGCGTTCGTAGTCAATGCGCCCCCGACGAGGCATGATCGGCCAAGAGGGTGCCGCCTCCTCTGGAGGGGTCGTCGGCGGGATCGTTGTCTGTCTCGGTGAACCCGTAGATTGGTCGCGCTGAGGCCACCAGAACCAAGGCCGATATCCGCTTGACAGCAGCGTTGAGCACATGGGAAGACGAGCGTCCTCCTGTAATCACACCAATGCCCACCTGTGAGTCCATGAGATGAGCAAACCTCGTGCACAGATGATGGCATACACGGAATCTCCAACGTAGAGCAGCCAGCGTACTGAGGACCTCCAGCGCTGTGATGTGGCTCTTCCATTTGCAGCGCCAGACCAGGACCGTCTTCCATGTCCAGCGCGCCACGCCGATGGGCCTCCGAGGCCACAGATCAGGGCGCATCACCTCCAACGAATCCAATCGAACATCCGAGCGTCGAACTTCAGCGCGCCTGACCGTCTCCTCGACCATCTGCGCGCTCATGTCTTGCTGGGCTTCGCGGCCGCGCAGATCCTTGTGGCGAACCAGCGCGCCCTCGTCACCGCCGGCCGCCATCCTCACCGCGCCTTCGGACGCGTCGAAGCCGCCGCCCTGCTGCCGCAGCTGCGCCACGCTCGGGACGCCGTCGATGTACTTCTGGCAGTGCGCCCCGTGCCCCATGATCCAGGCCACCACGGCACACTGGAAGGAGTCGCCCAGCAGGGCGCAATTGACCACCTCCAGCTCGCGGGTCTTGCGGAACCGGGTCGCCGTGGCCGTCGCCGTCTGACCAGCATCTCCCGCTTAATCCGCAGGCTCCAAATCACCGCCATCCCAGCGCAAGCATTGAACATCTCGGAACTGGCACGGGGCATAGCAGCACTCGTGGGCACGCCAGCGCGCCAACTCCTCCTCCGAACACAGGCACAAACCCTTGAGCTGAGAGCCCGCGCACGCCCTCGAAATGCAACGGACGAAGGTCGGCAGCCTCTGCTCCTCGCACTCTGCGCCGCGCCAGTGACGGCCCGCACGAAGCCGCCGCTTGAGATCGCCCGCGCCACCTGGGATCACCGCCCTCCTGACCTCCTCCGACTTGTTCACAGCGCCCTGCCACTGAGTCATCAGGCCCCAGTCGCACCAGCACAGCCTCTCTCGCCGAGCATGCAAGATGTTGGCCGCCTCGATCACCACGGGCTGCAGCCCCTGCGCCTGTCACGTGGCCTGTCTATCCAGGGCCTCCATGGGAGATGCGTTCTCAATCGAGTTGAACAGCTGCACCTCGAACGGGGAACATACGACGCATCAAGGCCTGCGCCCGCGAGATCTCGAAGAAGAGGCCAGACCGCTTGCCGTGCCGCCCGCACCTGTCCACGCTGAGAGGAGTCAGGTCCGCGCAGGGGGCGCCTGCGTGGAGGATGACCCAGCGCGCATGGGGAGCACGATCTCGGATCCCCCTTCACGCCCTTCTCCCCCGGCTGCTGCGCGTCGCCGAGTTCCACCACGTCAGGCCAAGCGCGCCGCACCACTCGGCACGCCTCCATGTCGTTCTCGGACGCGGCGCGCACTGCAATGCTCGAGCCCAGCATGTCGAGAGCTCGCCTGATGCCACCGATGCCGTCGAACAAAGAAAACAGCACGCCCTCGCCCTGCAGTCGGCCTCCGCGCTTAGCCCGAGCCGCTCATGCGGCCGCAGCCCCGTGGGGGGGGGGGTCGCGCGGCTCGGCACGCGGCACCCTTCTGCTCACTAGCATCCGACACCGTCACCACGCCGCGGACAGGAGACAGCAGGTCGCACCTCATGAATGGCAAGAGCCCCAGCGCGATCAGGATCTCCCTGAAGACGGGGCTAGGCAAGCGGCGCTCGCCTTCCCAGCGCACCACGGCTCGCCGCAGATGGTCGAAGGACGACGTCGTCTCCCCGCGGAACATCGCAGCTCGCACTCAGCGGCCTGCATGCACCTGCAACCACCTCTGCGCCACCTTCTCGCGGTCCGGCGAAAAGAGGCTCAAGCTCGCCAGCTTGTAGGTGAAGCCCTTGGGGGGCTGATCACGCCTAGCTCGCCGTCCACGAGCGGCTCACAGACTTATCCTCGCTGCGAAGGGCGCCGCGGGCATCGTATCGCGCCCTTGCCAAAAGCACAGCCTCAGGGGGCCCTTCGCTCTGAAGGGCTGCCAGCGCCACCTCATCCGCGATCTCCAGGTGGTCGAGGTTGTCGATGCGCACCTGCCAGGCAACCCAGGTAGGAGGACACGCAAGGGTAGAAAAAGGCACGCCCCCAGGCGTCCTCGCCTCTTCCCTCCAGACCTTGATCAGCGCATCACCATGGCACACCTGATCTGGCCTGCAGTGACAGATGAGACGGCGGCCCGACAGCTCACCAATATCCTTGAGCAAGTGCGGAGCTTCCCACAAGTGGGTCTCGAACTGCAGGACGGCCGATGTCCTGGACAAGCCTCGCGAGGCCCTGAAGGGGTTCGCCCGCGTGGAAGGGGGAAGGGGGAGTAGCCGCACCTTTGCCCTGCGCGCCCACTGTGCACGGGCACGCGCTCGTCGTCGTAGCTGCGGCCAACCTGCCCTCGCACGGGTTCTCCCTCTGAGGCCCGCGGCTTTGCCGGCGAGGCCTGGTCCGAAGCGGGGGGGGGGGGGGGGCGCGCGTCCAGTTCACGATGGGGAGGGAGAGGGAGATCGCGTCGCAACTCGTGCCCCGCCGGCAGAGGCTCGACACCTGGGGCCCACTCGCGCAACAGCCTCTTGTGGATGTGCTGGATGACCCCGTCGCCGAAATCCAGCCCGTAAAAATCACCGCCGCCGCCGCGAATGCGCTGCCACTCCCAGCCAGACCCAGCGCAGCGCGCCTGACGGGCTTGGACAAGCCAT